ACTGATCAGTTGTTGAAATTGACATTTGATCAAGAGTTTCAGATCTGTTTTTAACTCTGTATAGATGACTGAAAAAGCAGCGCCCTGTGCAGGTCGAGTCGTGCATTTGCATCTCAGTACATCAAATCAACCTCACATTCACACGAAAGAGAAGGCAGATGCTTTTAGCAAATTAAAACTTTATTCTTGTATCACTGATGACCATAAATGTTAGCTCCCAGAATGCAAAAAGCGAAGTGCTGAAGCGACTCGACAAATACAGTGAATCCTTGTAGTGCTACACTTGATGAACTTTGACATTTGATATATACATCTCTCAAATCTTATATTTAGATATAATTGTTTTTTTTGCGTGTATATATAAAATAAAATTTTTATTGCAAATTCATTATGATGCACTTAATGAATTAAACCAGTCAAACAGGACATGAATAGATTATATGACAGATTAATAACATTCAGACAAACAAAGGAACAAATAATCATTCCTACGAGTTAACCTGGTTAAAAATCCTACAAGTTGACCCATATAAAATCAACCAAAACTTTCCAAATCAGCCCCTAACATTCCGTGACTTTAGATGAAACAGAGGTCAATTTTGTGCGTTTACTCTAGTAAAAGTTCATTGAATGATGGCTTAATTATTGCTATTTTAAAAATGATTTGTTTGAAATGTTGTTCATGATAACGTGCTTCAAACGGACTCTTAAATCTGTGTTTAGAAGCAAGACTATGAAACTAAAGTAAAAGCTGAAACCTCACGATTATGAAACCGATTGTTCCTTTGACTTGTATTTGGTGTCGCTGGGTAAAATAAATAAAAGCACATAAATAATTAATGCACATTTCAGTAAATAGTTTTATAAAGTCACTTCATTTAGAGTTTAAGCATGTTTGAGAGCAGTTACAGTTCTTCAGGATAATCCATAATCAATAATGCAACAGCAAAATTGAGAAAAGACCCTGAAACGCAAGCAAAAGTTGAATATTGCAGGTAAAGAGTGTAATTTTTGTGCAAACCAAACAGAAAAATAGCTGAATGTTGATATAACAAGTCATTTGAAGGTTATAATCATGTGAAAGTTGAAAGCATCGCTCATGGCTTCATGTACAGACATATTAACAATCATTTTAGAGAGCAACAGCTTTGTTCAGTCTTTAGTCTGCATTCGAGTGCCGTCGTCACAAATCAGATGAAAATGAGCTCAGGTTATTAAAGCGTGAGACGACTCGTCTCGAGTCTGGAGCCAAACGATAAGCACCGATGATGAGACAAGAACATGAATTATCAAACCAGCTGAAACGGTAATAAGCTTTCATTATTACAAACATGATGCATCTGAATCTGCATCTGCATGATCACACACAGATGAACGCATGCACAAAAACAGACTAAATAATGTAAACACAGAATCATCCATGTGCTTTATGATAAACAAGGCAAAATTAGGCAAAGCAAAAAAAAAAAGCAAACATCAAGTAAATAAAGAAGCTTTATGATTAGAAAAATTACACAACAATGTGAATCAACCAAATGAATCAGTGGCAAGCAATAAAAAAAAAGACAAATAAAACACAAGGACAAACAAAATGCTGATAATATATCCAAGCAGGCAGACTTATTAAATATACAGAATAGCATTAAAACAAACATCAGATGAGGGCAGATCATTGGCATTCAGCTTCATGTCAAAGACAAAGGAAGTTTTAAAGAATAGTTCATTCAAAAATGCAAATTCTGTCATTATTTATTCACCCTCATGTCATTACAAATGGGTTAACTAAAACTAAAACCATTAAACATGAACTGAAATAAAATAAAATATATAATAATATAAAAACTTATTTTATTTTGGCTAGTTGTCAAGGCAACATTTTTCATTTGAATTTAGTTTAACCTGACTAACTAAAATAACAACAAAAAAAAACTATATATATAGTAAAAAAACTACTAAAAATGACAAACATTTTATTTCAGCTAGTTGCATCATACTGTGATGTACTAAAATAACAAAAAATAAATTTAAAAACTACATAAATATATTAAACAAACAAAAAAACAACAACTACAAAATGACCAAACAAAACTAAAAATTCACTTAAAATAAACATTAACTAATATTAAATAAAATATAACAAAATTAAACATTTTATTTCATCATTGTAATTTAGTTTAACGTGATGTACTAAAATAGAACTAAAATAAAAATATAAAGTATATATTTAATAAACTACTAAAAATGACCAGAAAAATAAATAAAATGACGAAAAAGTTAACTAAAATAAAAATGTATATTTTTTTCTCCATACAACACAACACAAGCTGCATAAAGATTTGTCAAAACTCCACTGAAAAATAACAGCATACAGGTTAATAACAAAATAAGGCTGAGTAAACAATGACAGAATTCTCTTTTTTTTGCTGAAAAATTCCTTTTTAAATGTTTCCACCTCTCTTCTTCATTGATGTGAATACTGCAGTTCATCAAAACCTGACATCAAGGCAACTCGCTGCAACGCCGTCCTCTGCTAAGCATTTACATCGCATACTGACGGCTGTGAACCTTCGTCAAACACAACAGGACAGGTGAGACGAAAACCAGCTCATGCACAAACCCGTGAGTCTGACTAAACTCCCAAAACCAGCAGAAACCTGCTCAAGTGCATGAAACTTCAGCTAAGGCTCTAACGAATCTGATGAGAAAGGCAGAAGAGCAGACGTCCGCTCTACTCAAAGGCAAAAGTAAAATGCAAAATAACCGATCAGTTAGCACTGTAATACTTCAAAGCAGAATATAGACATCTATGGACCTTTAGAGTTCACATAAAATATATAGATCTGATTTCACCACATCTTATTTAAAATAAGACTAATCTACTCTGTGCATGCAAAAGACTTTCTGATTTTGATATATATAATTGATTCTTTTTCAGATATGCAATGCACATCCAGAGCAGGATCTTAATGGCTGAATCTCCTCTGGCTGCAGGAGAATCAAAGGCCAGGGTTCTGATACTCGCGCTGCAAAGGCTTTAAAGGGAATAATTCATATAATTCATACTCCAGACTCTGCATAGTTCTTTTGGGATACAATCACACTGTTTGGGGGTCATGCAACACAAATCAACATTTCCGAACCTGAACTCATGTTTCCATCACACTGGCAGTAAAAATATGTGTGTGTCTGTGTGAATGCAGAGCTAGATGGTGAAGGGTTTCAGGAAAATGTTAATCTGCAGGTATTAAAGGAATAATTCACCCAAAAACGAGATATGTTTTCATTTACTCACCTTCAGGTCTTTACTAGGGAAACCCATTTCTGACAAATGATGGGTGAAAGCATGCTTTTGTAAGTCATAACTATGTCCGAACTCAAAATTATGAGATAGAAAGCAACAAAATAAAAAAATTTAAATTATGGCACATAATAACTTTCTATCTCACAATTTAACTTTTATATCATAATTTCAACTTCGTATATCAATTTGGACTTAGTCATAATGACTTTTTATCTCATAATTTTAAAACACTTTTATGTCTCATAATTATGACTTACTGCATCCCTTAATTTATTTTGTACTTTATGCGCCATACTTTTACCTTTTTATTTAATCATTTTGACTTTTTATCTTGTCGTGTTTTTATCTCATAATTTTGACCTTTTGTCCTAATTTCTGCATGCCATCATTTATTTTTGACTTTATGTGCCATAATTTCAACTTTTTATGTAATCATTTTGACTTAGTATGGCGATTTTGACTTTTTATCTCATAATTTCAACTTGGTCAATTCCAACTTTTTATTTCATAATTTTGATTTTGTAATAGTTTTTATCATAAATTTGTCTTAGTATGTCATAATTCTGACTTAGTGTCTCATATTTTGATGTTTTATGTCAGTTATCTCTTATCTCATAATGACTCAGTATCTCATTTTGACTGACAATTTATGACTTTCTCATTATTTCCACTTTTTATCTCATAGTTATTTACTGTCATAATTATGACTTGCTACCTTGTATTTTGATTTTTATGTCAATTATCTTTTCATCTCATAATTATGAATTAGTATCTCATATTTTGACTGTCGTGTTTTTATCTCATAATTATGCCCTTTTTGTCCTCATTTCTGCATGCCATAATTTATTTTTGACTTTATGTGCCATAATTTCAACTTTTTATGTAATCCTTTTGACTTAGTAGGTAAATTTTGACTTTTTATCTCATAATTTAAACTTGGTCAATTCCGACTTTCTATCTCATAATTTTGACTTTGTAATAGTTTCTATCATGAACTTATCTCATAATGACTCAATTATTTCCACTTTTTATCTCATAGTTATTTACTGTCATAATTATGACTTGCTACCTTGTATTTGGATTTTTATGTCAATTATCTTTTCATCTCATAATTATGAATTAGTATCTCATATTTTGACTGTCGTGTTTTTATCTCATAATTATGCCCTTTTTGTCCTCATTTCTGCATGCCATAATTTATTTTTTACTTTATGTGCCATAATTTCAACTTTTTATGTAATCCTTTTGACTTAGTAGGTAAATTTTGACTTTTTATCTCATAATTTAAACTTGGTCAATTCCGACTTTCTATCTCATAATTTTGACTTTGTAATAGTTTCTATCATGAACTTATCTCATAATGACTCAGTATCTCACTTTGACTGACAATTTATGACTTTCTCATTTTTATCTCATACTTATTTAGTGTGTCATAATTATGACTTGCTACCTTATATTTTGATTTTTATGTCATAATTATGTCTTTTCATCTCATAATTATGAATTAGTATCTCATATTTTGACTCTCGTGATCATGACTTATCTCATAATTTAGATTTTGTCATAATTATGACTTTACTCATAATTATGACTTAAATAGTCAAAACATGATGTACTATGTCACAATTATGACTTAGTATCTCATATTTTGAGGTTCTATGCCATAATTATGATTTACCATGATTTTTTTGTGGCAGAAATGGGCTTCTATAATTGTATGACTTCAGAAGAATTGGAATATAATTGGAACAACATTTGTCTTTCCTTGGAAAAAAAAATAGCATATGGGTTTGGAATGAAACGAAGGAGAGTAAAACAAAAGACAGAATTCTGTAATTTCTGCATGAACTATCCCTTTAAACCAAAGTTTATTGATTCGTCGGTCCAGATGTTTTTCAGAGTGGTCATGACCGGTCACCAAAGCGCTTGAGTGCATTTAAAGGTAATTGAAGACTATTAGACCAAAATTTTCTTTGATATAAAGTACGAGCAAAGAAAACAGGAAACACAATCACAACCAATCAAACTGGTCAAGCAACCTTTTTGGTGTAAAATAAAGTCTTTACAAGTGTAAATCTCTTGTGCAATCACAATGAGTAAATAGCTGTTTCTCAGGTTTGTTATGTGCACTGCAAATAGAGCATGATTTGAATGGTCCTCCATGAGTGGGACGAAATAATAAGCCAGTGTAAACACGCACCATCTGTATAATAAATATGAGAATGGCCATAATTTAACCAGTTTCATATTGCTCCTGATAAATGAGTCTAATTCCCCTAGAGGTAAAACACAACTAGTGATGCACGCGTCACAAAAACAAAGGCAATTCATGTGAATGAACACAAAAGCATCGTGAACTAGAAAATGCATCAATGCTATGAAAACAACAACAGAAGTGTTTCACCTGAATAGACTGAACAGTGCGACCGTTTGGTTATGCATAGATCGGTTCCCCTCATGTGGAATATTATTATTCCATAGCAAACGATGGATGGGAACATTTGCTTCTGAACCGGACATGATGTGACCACAAATAATAAACCTAATGGTGCTCAATGACAATCCCTCATCGCTTAGGATTTGAGTCACATCATGCCTGGTGAGGACAGTTCTTAAGCTTCACATGATAAGAACAATGACAAGCAAAAAAATAAATAAATGGCTTATTTTGATCGCTCCCTTTCATTTCCTTTATTTTGGTTCATTTTCCTGACGTTCTCATTTTGGCTTGCTACAGATGATATATCTGTCCTCGTGTTTCAGCAGTTAACGATCCTCCATGAGGACTGCCGATACAGGACGTCTTTGAGGAGGCGGCCGGAGCTCGTCATCCTCCTTACGACAGACGGCTGCTCTCTCAGGGGAGGAAGGGCTCGTCCTCGTCTTCCTCTTCGGCGGCGGGGCCCGGGTCACTCAGACAGCGCATTAACCGTTGCTGCGGCTCTTCGTCAGGAGTTTTGTCCTTCCTCTGCTTCGCAGGAGAGGGGACTTTCATGGTCAGGCCGCCTTCCTCCTCCTTCGGCTGGCTTCCCTTCTTGCTGAACTCGTCCACCACGTTGACGGACTCTGGGCTCTGCGGTGAGGCGAGGTCCACTTTAATGGTGGGGATGCTTTCTGTGACGGACTTGAGGCCCCATGCTTGAGGGTCTGTGGGAGGAAAGCGATCAGGAACTGAACAAATACTACACAGACAATCAGTACTTAACTCCAGTGTTGTTACTGTTACTGTATATTAAACTAAAGCTATTAAAAATCCATTTTCATTAACTAAAATAAAGCCGAGATCAAATAAACTATAAATATTAGACGAAAAACTTGAAAATTAGAAATGTTGCCTTGGTTAAAGTAATAAAATTACTGAAATAAAAAAAATGTAACCCAAAAATAAATATATATATAAAAAAAAAACCCAATAAAAATAACAAAAACACAACATTACTAAAACTTAAACTAATATTAAAACAAAAACGGAAAATATAAAATTAAAACCTAATTCAAAAACATTACAGTATATAAATAATAGTAAAATAACACTGTATCAAAGATAAATTTACTTAAAAAGCGCAAGTATGATTAACTATATAATTTGCATTACATAAAAGATATAAAGAATTTTCTTTTCTTACTTCATTTGCATACAGTTTTTTTCTTGTTGGAAGCAAAAATCTAATACAATTTAAAGAGGTTTATGCAAAAATTAGGAAAAAAAATAATCCATTTATCAATATGGGGTTAGAAAACTAACTATAAAAACTCTAATCTTACAAAATTTTGCTTTTTTTTTAGGTATATTTAAATATTTTTACTGGAAAATACTGAACTTAAACTAAAATTAAAATACAAAAAGCTCATTAAAAAATGTATAAATATTATTATAGTATATACATATTAGTAAAATATCACTCCTTTATTCAAAGATCAATTTAATTAAAAAGCATAAGTATAAGAATTTTTCTTGAATTAATGTTTTTATCCCACTGGCAAATAGTTTTTCTTCTTCTTAGAAGCAAATATCTAACAGAATTTAATGAGGTTAATGCTTAAAACAAGAAAAAAAAAACTATTTATTAATATGGCGTTAAAGAAAACAATAAACATTTTCTCACTACATTTTTTTCAGGATATTTTTACTGGTCTGTAATTGCTCTTAAAACATATGACAGCCCTTACAAAAACGCACCATGGTAATTATAACTCATGGCAAAGTACTACAGTTACTTTTACTACTGTACCAAGTAACCAATTAACCAAGTAACCAATTAACCAAAGTTATTCAATACAGGATCTGTTTCACATGGTGTATGAAGCTTTCCTAAAGTTTTTGCCATGTTGATTGATTATTTTATGATGACAATGGAGGTTAATATCCATTTACCACAATGTTACTGTACTAACAACTTAGATTTTTGTAAGGAAACTGGCTTATGTTGAGTTGGAAGAGTCAAAGAGTTGAAATCTGGTGAATCACTAGAGGGCGCTGCGCAACAACATAGCCTGCATGATTGTCAATTCACTGCACATTCACTGAGAGGAAAGACCTGAGGCTGAATCCACTCGGAACAAAAGAAAGAGATTTCAGGGACAGGATCCTCAACTCAATTATCAGTGCCAGCAGAATAAAGGGCTGCCTCACCTGAAGCCAGTCGAGCTCGAGTGATGGTCGGGGAATCAGGGGGTGGAGCGGGAACAGTGAGGTAATTGTTCATCTGCGATATCTGAAAGTACAGAGACAAAACCTTTAACGGTGACATTCAGTTATGATTAATAAAGCACATTCTACCTTTCAAGACTATTTTGAGTCAAATAGCAGTCAATTGAGATGGATTTTTCCTCATTATTATATAAAGATTATGAATTAATTAGGCAATGGATAGCTTTTAGATACTGATAATCTGGTCGTATCCAATAATGTATTGATCTGTCGTTAACGTCAAACCTTCTTTTCCAGCTCCTTCATTTTCTTCCGTTTGAGGAGCATCTCGTTCCAGCCGTCCTCGTACGGATCAGCGATCAGCGTGTGTCTGTTGTACGAGCGCAGCTGAAAATACACAAGAAAGTCCAGCTTGATCCGCATCAATCACACGAATGAAGGAATTACAAAGAGAGCCGTATGAGAAGAGGAAGTGGCGAGCGCTCACTCTCTGGCGGGTCCTCTGCAGGTTGGTGCGCAGGATCTTCCTGATCTCTTCCTCACGAGCCTTGGAGAGCTGCGGCAGCGCCCGGTCCTGAGAGGGCTTCTTGGGCTGGATATTCCTGGAAAACATTGGGGATAAAAATAAAAACTCAGTATCCGAGAACAAAGGCTTTCCATACATAAATTCCAAACATTCTACACACATTCCATGAATTCAACAAGTTACATACATTCTAGAAATTCCACACATTCTCTATGCATTATATAAATTCCTTTCTATATGCATTCATTACTCATTCTCTAAATTCCTTACACATTCTATATGCAATTCATAAATTGCATTCATTCCACATGCATTATATAAATTCTTTATACCTTCCATACATTCCATATGCATTCTATAAATAGTATACACCCCACTTGCATTATATAAATTCCTTACACCTTCCATACATTCCAAATTCTATATGGAATATACACATTCCACATAAATTGCATACATTCTACATGCATTATATACATTCTTTACACATTCCAGACTCTATATGCATTCCACACACTGTCTGTGCATTCTCTAAAGTCCATACACATTCAAAAAATTACACATATTCTGCTCAAATTACACACATTCCATGAATTCCACAAGTTATAAATATTCTAGAAATTCCACACATTCTCCATGCATTACATAAATTCCTTACACCTTCCATACATTCCCCATTCTATATGCATTCCATAAAATGTACACATTCCACATAAACTGCATACATTCCACATGCATTATATAAATTCCTTACACATTCCAGACTCTGTATGCATTTCACACACTCTGTGCATTCTCTAAAGTCCATACACAATCCATGAATTCCACAAGTTATATACATTCTAGAAATTCCACACATTCTCCATGCATTTGATCAATTCCTTATTGATCAAATTCCACTCATTCTCTAAATTCCTCACACATGCCATACTCTATATGCATTCAATAAATTATACATTCCACATGCATTTTATAAATTCCTTACACATTCCACATTCTATATGCAATTCATAAATTGCATTCATTCCACATGCATTATATAAACTCCTTACACCTTCCATACATTCCACATTCTATATGCATTCCATAAATTGTACATATTCCATTAATTCTCTAAATTCCTCACACATTCTATATGCAATTCATAAATTGCATTCATTCCACATGCATTATATAAACTCCTTACACCTTCCATACATTCCACATTCTATATGCATTCCATAAATTGTACATATTCCATTAATTCTCTAAATTCCTCACACATTCTATATGCAATTCATAAATTGCATTCATTCCACATGCATTATATAAACTCCTTACACCTTCCATACATTCCACATTCTATATGCATTCCATAAATTGCACACATTCCACTCATTCTCTAAATTCCTTACACATTCCACATAAATTGCATATATTCTAGGAGTGGCACGATACCATTTTTTCAGAACCGATCCCGATCCGATACCAAAAGTTCTGAGTATCGGACAATACCGATACCGATCCGATACAGCGCAGTTTTTTTTATTTCTGTACCTCAGTGTGTGTTGACCTGATCATCACTCTTTTGTGTGTTACACACAATCTACTAAATATAGACAACTTCATTATAAAGAAAAATAACAAATTAAAAAATATATAATCAATCTATGAGAAAAATACTATTATAAACTAGGTTAGTGGATAATTTAGCAGCAAAATTTACTCTACAAACATGAGTTCACAATCATTTTATAAAATCTAAACATTTAGAGAAAAAACATTATTTAGATAAATAGAAGTAAATAGATATAATCTGGTAAAATGTTACACATTGCTATTTGTATTGTAATATACATTAATGAAAAACAAGTAAATATAATTATATGCAATAAATTAAATACATCTCTTTTACATTTATAGCACAGTAATGAGGCCGCAACATAGGATAGATAAGATAGAACAAGAAAGGCTATTAACAATCTTTCATTGGGCAAAAGTTTTATAACATGAAAGGCTCCATTACGAAGCGGTACAAAGCGCTTATGCGCATCCCATGCGTAGAATGATGCGCTTGAAGCAACACGGAGTCACAGCACGCAGCGCTCCGCATAGAAAAGTTCAAAGCACAAAGGGAAGAGACATTGATGCGTAGTGTATTATATCTGTGCCATAGTTTATTGAGCCTTTTCTTTTAACGCTTTTAAATTTCAGTTACTGTGCGCGTGAAGAACAATTCATAGTGCTCTCTACTCCAGTGTAGTGATCTCTAACAGACACCCAGTAGAAAGTAACATGATTTAGAATTAGCACTAAACTCCAGCAAGATAAAGTACTTTTATGCAAACCACTGATGTTTATCTAACGTTACAGATCAAGTATAATAATAGGAACATTGAATCATCCTAGAGAGAGTTCCATCGTCTTGACTGTCGTAACCGAATGCGACGCGCAGTCTGAATGCTGAATGGAGGATTACAGACAACCGCAGTGGAGAGAAGAGTTTACGTGAACTTGAATTTAACGACTTTAATATGAGGTTCAGATGAATATTTAACTATGGAACGGTCTCAGAACACTTGAAATATAATGCACGGAAACCTTATGGTGCTTTATAATGATTTTGTGCCTTTCGTGGGGCTTAACAATAACACAGTATCGGATTTGGATCGGTCTCGTCTGACCGATATCCCGATCCAGCAGAAAGTGGCAGTATCGGAGCGATACCGATACTGAATATTGGATCGGCGCACCCCTAATATATTCCACGTGTCCAAAATTCTTTACACATTCCAGACTCTATATGCATTCCACACACTCTGTGCATTCCATACACATTCCAAAAAATTCATCAATGAATCACATTCATTGATATTTCAGTGATGTTTACATATGTTAGCTAGTGTGCTAGCTGCTTTCTACACTCACCCGGTGCATTCAAAACTGAGGCGATTTCACTCCAGCGCTTCTCTTTTTCCTTACAGATGTGATACGTTTTCCACACATTATACAGACAGTCGTGTTACTATAAAACGTCAAGAAGCAGTTTCCTTCGTCTCCACTATCCAACGGGGCCGTACAGCAGCTGTTTTACGGTCGCGCATTGGCTATTGTGAAAGTACTGACGTAATCATACAGCCGTCATCATCCCGATTTAAATCCTAAATATCAAACATGTTTGATATGATCGGGGCGGCCCCGATTTGTGTGCGAGCAGATCGGGAGGTGCAAGATTCGATCGGTGAACGCCTCACATTACCAGATAATCCGCGCCGAACATCGGGACCGATAGAGGGGCTCGACAAGATTTTTGCTCCGATTCTCGGGAGGGGGAAATCGGGGCTAAATCGGGCGAAAAATCCTGTAGTGTAGCCAGGCTTAAAACATATTATTAATTCCACACATTCTTCATTCATCCCAAACATGCTATAATCACTCCTTAAATTCAATGCACATTCCACAAATTCCAAATATTCTGTCTACATTCCATAAATTCTAAAACAAATCATAGGGTGAGTGCGGGTGCTTGGAAACACTCACTGCATGGAGACGGTGGACGGCAGGGCCGAGGGCAGCTTGGCTCCTCCGCCGCTCTCCACCAGCTCGATGGCCTGCTTCATCTCCATCTTGTGGTAGAAGGCGATCAGCTGTGGTTCTTTGGAGCGCTCACCCGCTATCAGGCACTTCTTCACGTACTTCTTATTGAACCGGTTCAGCCTGGAAATGAGTAGAAAAGGTGAAGCTTTCATATAATCTTGGTTATTTTTATCCAGATGTCAAAACCCTGCCTCTTGCATCATTAGTGGCAGAGAAACACTGATGCTTTGTCTGAAATCGAAGTGGAACATACTGACGTAACATTGCATAGAAATGGACAAAACTATACGTTCTCCATCTCTGAACTACATTTGATCCTAAATCTCACTTTCTCTGCTGCACCAGCAGGCAACAAAGATCTGTGAACTCAACTAAACTGGTCTGGTTTCAAAATATCATTCAAATCTCATCGACACCACTCATTCAAAATAAATATCGCATCTAAATCATCAAGACCAGACATTCTGATTTCACATAGACTTCAAACAATCTCAAAATCACTCAAAGAAAAGCCGAATTTGACTTTCATGCATGACTTATACGTACTTGTCCTTCCAGTGATGATGTCCGTAATGTCCGCAGATGTCCTCGATGCCGGTTAGCAGATGGTCCAAAAACTAAAGACAACGAGATGACAATTGATATGCTGTTTAGGAAACATAAACTACAATGTCGATCAGTAACACTGGGATTAACAGTTAAAAAGCAAACAGAAGCTCCAGCTGAACATGATGTTGATAATGAGCATTAAAATGGACAGCAGAGATATCTGACAGTCACTCACAGCATTAAACACCATGAGACGCTCATGCAAATGTGGGTTTCCATAGCAACAATCAGCTTTATGAGTGGTGAATAAATGCCAATTTGTGGGCAAAACGTTCTGTACTGAGTTTTGTGGAGTGGATCCAAGCTCATGTCTGGCATACAAACTGCCTCCTGTTTTTTCTAAAGAATATTAATATTAAACTCATATAATATAATATGTTATATATATAATATATTTATACATTCAATAATAATTTGATATATAATTATTTATATATATTATATACAGTAAGTAATATATATATATATATATATATATATAATTTATTTATTATTTTGCATTATGATAAAGAGAATGTGGTTAATTGTCATGAAAATAATGTAAAAATAGGCTTCATTTTCTTCATACAAAATTGTATTGATTTCCCCCCAGTGATTTAGCTGTGAAACATGACCTGGAAACATTCTTATTTACCTAAAGAGTCTATTTTTAGGATAATTGTGATTTCTTGCATTGTGACATTTTCATGACAATTAAGCACATTTTCCTGCTAAATTGTCAATAATGTGATGCAACATTTTACTTAAGTTTGTCATTCCCAGTTCCTGAGGGTGATTCTCTTTAGATTCTCCTGAATGCATTTACCATTTTAATTTTGCTTTATTAAATTTACTTTTAATTCAAATCAACAGTAAAAACTACAATAAATGAAACGTTTAAAATTTTTTGCAATAATGATTTTTTTTTAATGCATTATGGTGCATAATTCAAACGAAAATAATGCCACAATGCAAAAATCACCGTGGTTTAAAAATCGGCTTCATTTTCTTTATGCAAAATGTAATTCATTATTTTTTTTACCTGTGATTTTGTGTTAAAATATGACCTGGAAACATTCTAGGCAGATTCTGAGAGATTCATTTGGTCACTTGGTCTTTTAATGTTTTGACACCTGTCATTCTAAATATATCAAGCAGTATTTGTGTACACTGTAAAACTGTGACTGTACCAGTACGTGACCAGCAGGTGGCACTCAAACACACTCATCTTCACTAGTATTAATGGCACTGGATGTTACACAAACCCAAACAAGAGAAGGACATAAATCATTTAGTATAATTAACTCATCTAACCCAGCCGAGCTTGTTTTATTATGAACAAGACTGTGTAATCTGATCTATTCGGGACTGGCAGAATATCGAGAAAGCATCAAATAGTCCTGAATCACAGATGGGAGAAACTCGGAGAGGAGCAGAACCTGTGTGTGAATCTCCTCATTAATAGATCGCTTCGTTTCCTGTTTCTTCTTCACCGCCAGGAGGTCCACCAGGGGTCGAATGGTCATGCCCTGCCAAAACAAAGAGAGAAGAGCGGAAATTGATGAATTTAAATGCAAACAATAGAGCTGTAGTCATTCAAAAAAAAATGCATTAAAATAAAAAAGGAAGGCACAATGATAAGTAAAATGTTCTGACAGTGGCCCCAAATAGGTAAACCTAAAATGGCATGAAAGTCACTGCATTAGAAACGGCATTGCTCTGCAAAATAAAATAAAATAAAAGCTAAATAATAAAATAATATAAAATAAATAAATTAATAAAATAGTACTATTGTCAAAGCATTTGTCAAAGAATTCTAAAACACATCTGCCACTGCATTAGATATAATTGCATAAAATAGTATAAAATAAAAAATATTATAAAATAAAATAGCACAATAAAATAAAATAAAAAATAAAATAGCACAATTGTCCAGCAAAATATTTCTCAAAGACTTCTAAAACAGATCTGTCACTTCATTAGATATAATTGCATTGCATTGCACTACATAAAATAAAATCAAACTATGCATTGTAACACGGTTTGTGTGTGTGTGTGTGTGTGTGTGTGTATCTGGGACAAGAATATGGGAATGAGATGGAAATAGAAAAGGGATTTTACAATTCTTGTTCTGATTCTGATTCCAAATAAATAAAATACTATGCCGAAACCTCCTGACCACTAAAAGAATTACAGGTCGTGACGAGGGAGCAATTAGATTTACACGCAGTGGGCGGCACCTCCTGTCCTGAGCTGTAATTCATAGCATGTCCTCGCATGATTTTCATACTACAGTATGCTGAGCACTGATGAGGGGTGGCACTGTGACAGCGTTTGTTACATTGCTGTTGGTTCTGCGTGGAGAGGGCTTTTCCTCAAGGTCAGATGCTGGCAGAGATCAAGCTACGCCGCATGCAGCAATAGCAAATGCACCATCACATCTGACACTGCAAACTGTCTCCACCTTCCACTTCCTGTGAACAGCACGAACTCCATGCAGCGAGATCAAAAGATCGATGCAGCGACCCCAAATAATGCACCCAAGACGGTATGAAAGTCACTGCATTAAACAGAACTGCATTGCACAATAAAATAAAATAAAAATAAAAGATAGACATCTAAAAAAAACTGATGTTCTCTTATATGCATTGTCCACAAAGAGTTAAAACTAAAGTTGCATGAAAGTCACAACTCTGCATAATAAATAATGTTTATTATAAAATAAAATAGCACAATAAAATAAAATAAAAAATAAAATAGCACAATTGTCCAGCAAAATATTTCTCAAAGACTTCTAAAACAGATCTGTCACTTCATTAGATATAATTGCATTGCATTGCACTACATAAAATAAAATCAAACTATGCATTGTAACACGGTTTGTGTGTGTGTGTGTGTGTGTGTGTGTGTGTGTATGTATCTGGGACAAGAATATGGGAATGAGATGGAAATAGAAAAGGGATTTTACAATTCTTGTTCTGATTCTGATTCCAAATAAATAAAATACTATGCCGAAACCTCCTGACCACTAAAAGAATTACAGGTCGTGACGAGGGAGCAATTAGATTTACACGCAGTGGGCGGCACCTCCTGTCCTGAGCTGTAATTCATAGCATGTCCTCGCTCGTCCACGCATGATTTTCATACTACAGTATGCTGAGCACTGATGAGGGGTGGCACTGTGACTGTGACAGCGTTTGTTACATTGCTGTTGGTTCTGCGTGGAGAGGGCTTTTCCTCAAGGTCAGATGCTGGCAGAGATCAAGCTACGCTGCATGCAGCAATAGCAAATGCACCATCACATCTGACACTGCAAACTGTCTCCACCTTCCACTTCCTGTGAACAGCACGAACTCCATGCAGCGAGATCAAAAGATCGATGCAGCGACCCCAAATAATGCACCCAAGACTGTATGAAAGTCACTGCATTAAACAGAACTGCATTGCACAATAAAATAAAATAAAAATAAAAGATAGACATCTAAAAAAAACTGATATTCTCTTATATGCATTGTCCACAAAGAGTTAAAACTAAAGTTGCATGAAAGTCACAACTCTGCATAATAAATAATGTTATAATTAAAATATTATATTATAAATTATTATAAGTATACAATTCATTTTCCACTGCATAATAAAATAAAATAAAATAAACAATGAGGAGGGAAGATAGCTCAATTGTCCATCAAATCATTTTTCAAAGAGATTTGTTAGGTAAGAAATGCAAAAATAAATAACTGTACCAAAATAAAAACAACAAATAACAAAAATAAAAACACTGTAACATGAAATCATAATTGACTGCATGTACTTTCTTAACACGTTCTGATTATTAAAAAGGTTTTGTCTTTACTTCTAAAATAAGGCCTCAGTTTGACATTTTGATTAAATCTAATCAATTCATAGAGTTTAAAGTACTTCACTTTATGTGACATATAACTACAGAAAGATCCAACATCACAACACAGACAGTCCCAAACAGGCCACAAACATAAAACACAGGAGGCGTAACACAAACCTCGCAACGTGAGACTGTCCCTTATGTCCTTGTTCAAATGTGTGGACAGAGACGCTCTATTTAAAACCTGACACCAACCAGCAGCACTGCAGCAACAGCAGCACACAACTACTCTCCCAAACTTTCCTCTGCAGTGTCAGGAAGAACCCGAGCACTTACAGTGAGGTCTCGAGTCGCAAACCCTGCTGATGCATTCAAACAAGAGGGATTTACTAGACGTCAGAATCAGCCGAGAAAACGGCAATCGGTGCATCTCTAGGATTTACACCTTCTGCAAGTTTTATGAAGGTACATTTAAGACTTTTTCAGATCAAGTAAAGCAAATTGAAGGAATAAATGGAGCAGAACACAATATGTCAACACAGTCTCTAAATGTGAATGTCTTGTATTGGCAACGCTTCAAAGTTATATGAAAATACAACTTCCAAGAGATCCCCAATTGGTTTACTTTTTTTCTTTTACCATTATAAATGTGACGAGAGGGGCGGGGCCGAGAGCCGTGGGAACGGAGCGAGGCCGGTGGAGTAAATGTTAATGCGCGACACCTGCGCCACTCACCGGTCTCGAGTCCCACGGAGGAGCTCACAAGAAGGAGTGACGACAGTGTTGGAGGAGAGAGGACCAGGCCTGGACTTTATTTTCTGTTTTGTGTGCGACAGTCGTCCGCGAGGGGCTGCCGCTTTACTTTTATTTTGTGTTTGTTTATTTTATTATTAAAGTTTTGTTTAAGTGTTCGCCGGTTCCCGCCTCGTTCTTCCCGAACTACGAACGTTGTTACATTGGTGCCGAAACCCGGGAGGAAGGAGGGACACGCTGCTAGAGATTCCTCGCAGCTGTAATGAATCCGCGGTGCCATCAAGCATAGCGGAGCAGTCTGCCGCCATGGAGGCTCGAGGAGGTGAGCTAGAGTGAGTTGCCGGGGGGGCGGACGAACTCGCTGCTGGCCGCCTGGGCTGTGGAGGGACGGCTGCCGTCCGTAAGGGAGCGGAGGAGTCGCCGACGTTTGCCTGAGGTCGGAGCCTGCTGCCATCCGCCATGATGGGGAGGAGCAGAGATTCCTCGCAGCTGTAATGAATCCGCGGTGCCATCAAGCATAGCGGAGCAGTCTGCCGCCATGGAGGCTCGAGGAGGTGAGCTAGAGTGAGTTGCCGGGGGGGCGGACGAACTCGCTGCTGGCCGCCTGGGCTGTGGAGGGACGGCTGCCGTCCGTAAGGGAGCGGAGGAGTCGCCGACGTTTGCCTGAGGTCGGAGCCTGCTGCCATCCGCCATGATGGGGAGGAGCAGGGAACGGGGGACTCCTGCCGGCTACCTGAACCTGGAGGAGCCATCGCCGTCCACCGGGCGGCGGAGGAGTGTCGAGCCGCCTAACGAGGGCTATCCAGCGCCGCTGCCAGGCATCGCGGAAGAGTTTACCCAGCTGGTGGAGGGCCGAGCGGCAGTGTGTCTGGGAACCGGAAAAATATATATTTTTTCCTCTCTCCTCTCTGTCTCTCCTCATCCTTCCGTCTCCTTTTCTCTCGCCTCGTCTGTCTGTCCTTACCCCCAGGGACGCCGCGGCCGCCGTGATCGGCTCCCCCAGAGGGGGGAGGGGGGAGTAGAGCGCAGTCTCGTGAGTACCCCCCGGCCTGTGAGGGGCGATGGGGGTATGTGACGAGAGGGGCGGGGCCGAGAGCCGTGGGAACGGAGCGAGGCCGGTGGAGTAAATGTTAATGCGCGACACCTGCGCCACTCACCGGTCTCGAGTCCCACGGTGGAGCTCCGGAAGGATAAAAGGAGGAGTTGCGACAGCGAAAGACGAGAGAGGACCAGGCCTGGATTTTATTTTGTGTTTTGTGTGCGGCAGTCGTCCGCGAGGGGCTGCCGCTTTACTTTCATTTTGTGTTTGTTTATTTTATTATTAAAGTTTTGTTTAAGTGTTCGCCGGTTCCCGCCTCCTTCTTCCCGAACTACGAACGTTGTTACAATAAACAAAGCATAAACTCACTCCAAGAAAGTAAATGTGCATCTCAAGTAAATGTCTTTTGATGTAAAGACGTTTAGAAATTTGTAGTGGAAAACAAGACAGAAATCCTGAGGATTATTATTATTTTTTTTTTTGCAGTGCATGCAACCTTGACTTTATGAATTTAAGACTTTCTTCTTCGATTTAAGACCCCGTTAAGGCTTTAATTTGTAGAAGGGTGAATTAAGACTATTTTAGAGCTTTTGCAGACCCACAGAAATCCTGCGAACACTCGTGAGGAGATTATTGTACAATAGATCTGCAGAATAGTTAAGCACAACCCTAAACCACTCAGACACACTAAAACAACTCCAAAGCATCAGCCGCCATCAGCAAAACCGGTGAAGATCTGGATCTCATCATGTCTGTGTACTGTACACAGACTCTACGCTGGTTCTGCTCTTTTGTAGCACAAAGCAGAAAGACTCACGTTACCATATCAATCATTCAAAACAGAAACCAAGAGGGCTACTTTCGTCATTTTCAGCAGCTCATGCATTTCTGAGAGCCATCAGGGCTCCCGCAGCTCTCCCAAAGAGCAAACAGAGTCTGAAGAGAAGGAGTAACGGCATAGACAAACACACCACACCACACGAAAAGCGTTCGATAATGCAGTAAAACCTGATGGAGCGTAAAGCTGTTCAATAAACAAGTCTGAGGCTATTACATCAGTGCATCAAACACGAGGTTAATGAATGGCTAGGCCTGCAGGGAATTCTTAGAGGAAATGAAATTCCACAGATTTCAATTTATGATTTTTAAACTAATTTCAGCAGAATTTCAAACACTTGTTAAACATTAACATTAAGACAATTGTTTCATCATATTTGAAATCATTCCACAGAATTTCATTGATTTTCATTTTCAAATTCATTCCGCATTCAAATTTTCGCCTAATCAGAGCTTGTGTTGTGCCAATTTAATCATTCTTTTTCTCACAATATTACATTGACACATCCTTGCATTGACTTTTTATAATTTATTTAATTGATGTTACACAAAAATTATATATATTATACAGTATATATATATATATATATATATATATGCGTGTGTTTGTGCACATATACATCAATTATATAATTTTTTTTACTTTTACGTTTAATTAAAATCTTTATTTTAGTTTTATCTATATATGTATCTGTCTATCTGTCTGTCTATCTACAAAAAAAAATTATTTATATTTTATATATATATATATATATATATACATATATATATATGTGTGTGTGTGTGTGTGTGTGTGTGCGGGTGTGTCACGT